ATACTCATAATTATTGTTGTTGCACAACAATATTTTGCATGTTGAACAAAATTATTTGAATTTTTTTAGTTTCATGTAAATAAATTGCGATGAAAGGATGCCGAAGTGTGCACATGCAAACACATGCGCCACTACATGCTGCAACATAGTGCTCAACATGTTTTTCTTCAATGTATGTGCATGCAACATTGTCGCCACGGCCAGCAAGATGCTGCATGGACATGCAAACGTGTGTCGCTACAATTAAATAGTACAAAATAAATTAAATAAAATCACAGCGATTTATCTAGCTACTTTGCCCGCTGCCAGAGCACTTTACAGCGCTTACAAATGTATGTACGTATGTGTGTGTTTGCATGAATATGCACTTTATTAATTTACATCTTTTACTTACATATATAATTCTGCTTGTTGTTGCGCGTCAGCTTGTCGCCTGTAATTGCCGCAATCACTTGCTTGCTTTGTGCTGCTGCTTTTGGTTGCATATTGTTTTTGTTGTTGCTGCTGCTGTTTGGCCATTGCATTGCTCGCAACGTGCACCTTCTTTTCGCATATTACCTACTCATTATTATGCAGTTGTGGTTAAGAGGCATATAAATTTCTTGCTACTCATGCTTTGCTGACAATCACTTATTTCTCTTTGTTATTCCCCCACTTTGTATTTGTTTTGCTCACTGTGATAGTCTGCTGTGGTTGCCTGCACAAATTTGCCACAATTTATTTGATTGCCATCGAAGCGCAGCTGACTTTTGTGTGCGTGTGTGGAATATGCAAGAAACGTCCAAAATCACTGCAGCTGTGCATGGCGCACGAAGTTGCTTAGTTTAACGTTTGAGTGTGTTGCTTGTATTGCCGCTGCAAAATGACATTTCGTATGTCAGCTGTCAAAAATGACAAGAAATTAAGAAATCAATACATGCGTCAAAAACGATTTTTGAGTAAATTTTTTTGTTGGTTTGTGTGTTTTGAAACATACTTCAAAGCAAAAGTCTCAATCAAAATTACTGACAATCAATTTGTCTATACAGATTTCGGCTGGTGAGACAGTAAACAAAATATGGTGATTATGGGAACAATATACCTAGCACTGCCATAAGTTCTGTTACAAGTCATAATGCATTTGTTAGATACACGATGCACTAAATTTAATTCGAAATAGTCAGCTTTTGCTTTCACAGAAGCCCTCTAAGATTCGATCACTGATAATTAATCGTATGTCAGCAGCAGGCACAGTTTCTATTGGCTTTGACGACGTTGCTCGAACTAAAGATTATATATATTCGACCATGCCATGTTCTCCAACTCTGATCGCAAACTGTAATCCAATAGATTCTTATTTGAACTGACAGATGGCCAATCATCTGCAGCTGCTAATAAACCAGACCAAAATTGCTTTTAAACCACTGCTGGGAGATATGTGCCTTGTGTGCTGGAGCAGAAGCTTGCTGAAATTTCAATGCTCTCCAACGAAGAGATTATGGCTTAACTGCTTTAACACGCCTTCTAAAACAGCTTGATGGCACACTTTTGCCCAGTTTTAATCCTTCTTTAATAGAAGTAAAGTGGTGAAACGCCTTTGCAGGGGACAACCCATCAAACCATTACAGTACCCTGATGGTGATCAACTTGAACCATTGTAATAAAAATTTTCGACTTTGAAAGTGTTTGCGTAGATTTTGTCGCCTTGTTTTACAAACTTCTTCAACAGTGAAAATTTTTTCATCTGTAAAAAGAATTCTTACATGGCCGCTCACACATTAGTATTTAAGAAGAAATTTTTCTCCTGAAAACTTCATTTAAACGCTTAATAACTCAATTAAGTAATTAAGAGATCGACTTATTCCTTAAAGTGTTTCATTTTTTGGCAACATATTTTTCATGGAAATTATTTTTCATATTTTTATGAAAAAATTTATTAGAGCTTTTTTGTAGAGCATTCAAAAATTAAAGTTACTGTTTGTAGCTCAGCAAAAAAAAACGTTGCCTAAGATTGACACACCCTTTTATTCACATGTCGAAATTTTAATATTATATTGACCTTTTTGAAATACTGTTTTAATCAAATTCTAAAGGCATTCAGATTTGATTTATATGACTTTTTTTTTGATTTCGAACAATCATTTCTTTTTTTATTTCTTCCAGTAGTGTGATTGAGTTCTGCCATACTTCTACAGACACAAATTATCTTTTATAATATTTCTTTAACTAAAAACTTAACCTCCAAATAACAGCAATTACTCACGGCTTCCTACCCCCAACCCAACCCGTTATTATTTACAGCACACAAGAGGGTTTGTAAATCATTGAAATTACCCCATAATTCAAAACAAATTTTACGTAATTTTCGCACACGCTCTCCAAACATTTTCTAAAAAAAAAACAATATTTCACCTGTTTTTTGCATCCGTCTACCTTTTGCTTTCAACCGCTGACTTACTTACAGACACACTTACCACATATTTGTTATTGATGTACTAGACAAATTCTAGGCATTCGTTAAAGCGGTTTGTCCCAGCAGTAACATTCATATTATTATATTCAAATACATTTACTTGCGATTTCCGGCCCATAAATAATGTTATACTTAGGCACATAATCATTTATAAATAACTGGCAACTCCTCACAGCATCTTTCGTACCAACTTAAGTTATCCACTTCTTCATAGAAAAAGAGCCGAATCCACTCTCATTAATTTTTACGACAAATTGATTAACCCAATAAATTCGCACCCTCTTCACATGCCAATAAAGGCGAAAAATAAATAAGTGCAACAACAACTACCATGCGTAATACCGATTGCTTTGACATTTAGCAGCCACTCGAAGTGAAATTGATGTTTCCGAAATCACGCATGAAACTCCCGAAAACACTGCGCCGCCGTTAATTCACAGCTCGTAATGTGTGTGGGTGCGCGTGTGTCAGTGACTGCAGTCGGACGCATGCAACTGCAAATCCAAAATGGCTGTTGCATCACGTGTCAGACACGCGCGTAAATTATTTACACGCAATTTCAAGCCACCCTCCGACACCAACACGCATACACCCGCACAAATAAGCGACTGTTCGATTGCAAGAAGTCTTGCGGAAGCTGTGTATTTTGCGCTGTATCAATTTACAGCATGAAACATAAGCCTATAAATATATATGTAAGAAGTGCTGTGAGTTATTGATTTCTTCTTTTCCTTTTTCTACTGTATTCCATTCTGCAGCAAGCAAATTTGTTTACTGACACTTGTCAAAAGCATGCTGTTTTTCTGTATGTTGCTGCTGCTCAGGCCTTACAGCTATTCTCACAACTTTCTTAGTGCTTGATGGTTGGTAGTATTGACATTTTTGAAAATCTTGTTTTTAACTTTTTTGGACGAAATTTAATTAAAATTCTCATATATATTGTTGGTAGTGCGACATGAAAAATGCCAATCCTTCTTGAAACTCCTGTGACCTTCGCACTTTGACATTCCAGTTTTACCTCAAAAAGTGCTTGAATTCAAGTTGCAACATTAAATTAATTATCAACTCAATTCTGACCCCACTTCATATAAACAAATTTTACCCCATTTGTATTACTTACCCACTTAGATTACTCCCCTTCATTACATAACCTCACTTCAGCACACACATATTTACTAAATTCCCCCATTTGCTTCATGACATTTTTGTTTATTAGCCAACTTCAGTGTAATAGTACACATCATTCGATCATTCTCATATTTCAAGCGCCATCATATATCCTCCAGCATTTTTAATCGCCCTCTCTCCTGCTTGTTACGAGTACTACTCCCTTCGCCTGATTCTCTTTTGATTATTTTGCTTATTTACGCACAGTCTGCTTTGTATTTACCCTACTCATGACGGAAGTAGGAAATCTGTTAGCTTAATTGCATTATGAGCTAATAAAGGCCAAAAGCACACAAATGTGTGGCAGGCTTTTGGGCTTAGACATTTGGTCATTTCGTTGAAGTTTTGTGGCTTAACTGTAGAGGACTATTGTCTATTCGAATGTTGTGTGCATTGTTTGTAGGATTTTTCTGTGCCTGCATGCTTTTTACCTTTTGTTTGGTTATGACCGAAGGCAACCTATTGTGTTCGGCAACTACTTTCAAAGGCATACATACATATTGGTATATACATATGTACTTGTATCTAAGCACGTGGTTTCGTTTGTGGCTCAGTTTCGCTTGTATGATCCAGACAATTGACATTTTTTGTTTGATTAGGTTTTGTTGATTGTTTGCCTTAAGGTTGGCAACCATACTCAGTGAAAGTTATGTTGCCACAAATAAACCTGTGCAGTGCTTGACAATTATTATATGATATGCATGAAATTTCGGCGATTAAAGCAATAATAAAGTGATTTATATTCAATTGCTATAAATTTATTTGCTTATTTTTATTACTATGAGTTGTTATAACTCGAAAAAAGAAATATCGAGTCTAATTAAAGTGTTTTAATTTTTTTTTTTTGGGTTTTTTTTTTCATTGTATTCATAACCTTTCGGGCTACAGGGCGTCAGTTGTTGAAGCAGTCAACTTTCGGGAACTCAGTTATGTGATTTTTCTAAATAAAACTCGGTGGACCTTTCGAAAATTATATACAATATAAATATTGAATTTTTTCACACACATTTATTAAAAGTTACAAGAATAAGAGGGTCGGTTCAGGGGTACAATACTCGATTTTAACACCAAAGCGTAATCTAACCTGACTTTTTTTCTCAAAATATGATTATAAGCTCAAATTTCCATTGCAATTTTTGTTTATTTGGCAATAAACAGTTATATATACTTTTTTTTCTTAATGAAGTCGTAAAAATTAATTTAAATAAAAAAAATTAATTTTTTTTTAACTTTTAATTTAAAAAAATACTCTTTCAATTCTTAAATTAAAAAAAAAATATTTTTTTTTGGTTTCAAATTTAGTTTTGTATTTAAAATTACAGTTTTAACTTTAAAATATTCAAATTATGCGGCTGTTATATACCTTGTCTCAAAATATCAGGCATACCAAGTTGAAAACATTACATAACAGCACGGGAAGTGATCTAAAATTTGTGATTTCAAACTAAACTCAGCGGTTTCAAGCAAAAATGTATAAAGTAATAAATCAAATAATTTACACATATACAAAGAAAATGTAAATGTGTTCCAAAAGTGCCAAAATTATTTTTCGACAATCAAGAAAATATAAACCACAGCAACCAAAAAGATGCCAAATAATTCTTTACACATCGTTTGATATAAAAAACAAAAAACTAAAAATATAGTTTTGTGTTCTGAAAACCAAAAAAAAAAAAACCAAAAAAAAGGAAAGAAAATGTAAATTCTAATCAAAAAAAAGGAGAACAACTAAATACCGCACAAAAAACACGTGCTCTCCCAGCAACACCAAAATAAAAAGAAAACGTAAATGTTTTTGTTGCCACCGACAACAACATGGGCAACTCATCGTCATCGCATGGCCATGGCAGCAGCAGCAAGAGTAGTCGCAAGTGTCGCAGTCTGCCCAACTCGCCGGATGTCAGAAGGTAGGTACTCGGCGCTCGCGCAAGCAACTATAACCACAACACATAAAGCATAGATAAAATCATGCCGCGAAAACTGCTGAATATTCATATTGTGACTAAATATTTTGTTAGATGTTATGCCAAAGTAATATCAATAAAAATCGGTGGGGGAGACGCATGACACAAAAACAAATTATTATACATATCTATTGCCAGATATACGTATATATAATATGTACAAGTATGTGTGTGCATGCACCTAGAACTATATCATTTGCCATTAACACATCAAAAGAATGCTATAAACTTCCGGGTTAACGGGAATCGTTATAACTAAATATTCATACCGTGCACTGCGGTTGGCTCTTACATAGCGCCAAAGTTGCTTTGTGGCCACCACCCACAGCTGCCGCTCAAAATTTGTGCTGCATAAGTTCATCTGTTCCTCCCGAACGCCGCTAATGAGCGCACATTACAGCATATAATCATTTGAGGCATTTTTTCTACAAAAAGGGAAGACATTTATTTTTATGTAGTACATGTATATGTTTGCACAGATTTGTAGTAAATATGTAACAGCACGCATAACATATAACACATATATATACATATATGTGCCTATTATTTGAGCGCTGTGCGATAGCGAATAACGAAAATAATTCACTTCTAACTCCAGCACACTCGCTTCTAATGCTGCCATTCGAGGGCGTTGAAGATTTGCTCGTTCTGCTGTGGCTATAAATCTTCGACGCTGCCTAGTCGGACGCATGTCGGCGGTTGCAGCAACGAATGTCAATGTGGTTGCAAGTTCTGTGGCTAATTTTAGACGCACTTAAATCTTTTCTCTTCACATTTTGTTGTAAACTCTTAGTTGTTGTTATTATCTTGTTGTCTTTTTAGTACTATTTTGTGGTATGACAGTATTTTTAATAGATTTTCGAGAAAATATTGTACTAAAATGGTTTTTGGAAGTAAAAAGTGCGATCGAAAAAGAAAAATTTGTGTGATATTTTATTGAGTTCTAACTAAAGTTAACGCTTTAAGGTCAAAAATATCTGAAAATGTAGCTTTGAGGAGATTTGATTTTTTTTCTCGTATATACCTATCGACATTTTCTGATAGTTTCAGCATTTTCGTGGCATATTCTGCATCGTACGTATGTATCATTTATTCATTAAAATTAGATGATATGGTGATAGCGTAGAGTCGGCAATATAGGCATATAAAAAGCAAGAAAACACGTTAACTTCGGCTGCACCGAAGCTTTTATATCCTTCACAGATAAATTTTATATAGCATAAAAGGGTATAAAATGATCTTTATCTTGATTTTGATCGGTCAATTTGTATGACAGCTATGTATATGCTATAGTTGTCAGATCTGAATAATTGCTTTAGAGATAATACCGTTGCCTTAGAGAAGATTCCCCACCAAATTTTAAGAAGTTAGCTTGTCAAATAAACAAGTTTTTCATATAGAACTGGATTTTGATCGATCATTTTGTATGGTAGCAATATGCTATAGTGGTCCGAACTGAACAATTTATTTGTAAATTATACCGTAGCATTTTATAATAATTCATGCTAAATTATTTAAGCCACCTCCTCAAATATAAAAGTTTTCCATACAAGCACATGTTTGTATGGCAGCTATATACTATAGTAACCCTTTGTCGCTGGTCCCGACAAATGACCACTTTCTTTGGAAGAAAGTGCAAAATTTCACACCCATATCTCAAAAACTGAGAGACTAGTATATGCAGACAGACGAACATGGCTAAATCGACTCAGCTCATCTTGCTCATAATTTATATATACTTACATGCATATGTATATATTATAGGGTCTCCGAAGTTTCCTTCTGGGTATTATAAGATTCGTTTCAAACTTAATATACCCTTTCGAGCGTGTCTAGAGTCCATAGTTTGATACTTATTAAATGTTATGTTACATATTAGCCCTCTTAATGTCAAAATATTAATTTAATCTTCGGGCGCTTTCCTAGTAAATATTAAATAATAAAATCAATAGAAATTTAGAATATAAATAGTTTTTCTCACGAAGCTACATTTTGTGAATTTTTCATCAGCTTAACCAAAATAGGATTGCCAGTATATTTAAAACTTTTGATAGTGATGTGGATTTTTAAACCATCGTTATTTAATATAATAATTTATTTGCCAAATATTTGTACTTAAAAATCCATAGAAAATAAGTTTAATCTTGGTACTGCAGCAAATCTGCAGTGTTGCATGAAAAACTCGGTGGAAAAAAAAACATAAAAAATATGCCGATTTCTTTAGCACTGTATACACATGGTAAATATATTATGTAATTGTCTGTTTCTCTTTAGAAAATACACTCAAATCGCTTCAAAAACTTTGCTTATCGCAATGATTGCTTTGTTGCACGTACTGCAGCATATGGTGAATGCTACTTATATGCAATTTTTGTACACATTTTTGGTGCTCCAGAAAGCTTTCTTATGCTGTACTGTTTTGTACTCCTTTGCATTTTTATTTATTTATTGCAGCCGTATGCAATTCTTGGTTTTTCACCCTTCCTTAGTATCCACGCCACTTTGGCCACAGGCCAAATATTTATAAAACTTTTTGGAATAAAATAAGTAACAAAATATTGCTGTGTTTGCAATTTTTTTACTCTGCCAGTTAGCATGTAAAACGCTTACGGCTAGTTTTGAATTTTTATGGCATGTTCGAATATTAACAATCGAACCGATTTTACTTATTCGAAACCTATGTTTAATATGTGCATAGACTTATTTTTCAATTTGCTCGTTGCAAGCATCCAATTCATACATTATTTATATTCATAATAGAAACTCATATTTCGCTTCGGTTTGGTTTTGATTTCGAAATTTTCACATATGTTAAGCAACCCTTAAATTTTGTTTTCCACCACCGCTCGGACTTTAGACTTAAAAAAGTCAGAAAAACAGCATCCCTTATAAGCATTTGATTCAATTACAAACATCAAAGTGCAAATAAAAACTTGGCATTTCCATTAGCAAACAAATATGGAAATAATAAGCAGGACGAAAATGTCATATTTACTATATGTATGTACGTATATAGATACTTAAAAAAATTGCGAAACCAGGAAAATGCATAAATGAAAAGTCTAGCAAATAGATAGTCGCCCGAAAAGACACAAAGTAGTCTAAACTGCCTTTGTTTTGAAAGCATATTTGTTTAACCATACTCTTTATAATATCTTGTATGCAGCTAATGTCTCCATATATGAAGATTAGTACATGAAAGTATCATTACACCCTTCTAGTAAATATTTTACAGTAAAGTAAGTCTACTTGTTCATTCAATATTTATTACTCCTCAGTGTGGTATTTTGTAGCTATCCATCCACAGCTCTTGATTCCCTTGATATCTACATAAGTCAGACTATCGCACCACCGAATTCAATTGAAGACCATTCATTACACCAAAATCTGGCTGCATTTTATTTGTTTGCTTCCGATTTTCCCACCACCAATTTTCATGCTCGTCATATAATAATATCTTGCAACCGCACATTAGTTACGCCGTCACTGCTCATTCTTACCAACCTTTATTGCGCACATATAATAGATTATAAATACCGTTTCTGAACATTAAACATACCATATATGTTATAGGCAGAAGTAGGCGAGACTGCGTGCACAAAGCTGCTGCGCATGTGTAGCTTACCCCATAAAACTAGAATTATTTGCTGAGTAAAGATTGATGCACCCTATTCTGATCGTATCGATGGGGATGTCAAATATGAAGTTAAGTGCGATCAAAATTCAAGTTGAATATTTACTTAAGTTAGCTAAGTTCCCACGAGCTCAAGGTGTGGAAATCTCGATTGGTGTGAAAATCGATTATTACGAGCATTAGAAGGGATCAATGCGCCGCTAATCCTCATCTTTTCATGTTTTTATTTATATAAACAAATTTTAATGAGAAGGTTCTCATAATAGTAAGAACTGTTATTTCAAGTGGATCAAAGTTGACGGTCAGTCACCATACATAATATTTTTGAAATATGTTCGCAATAAAAATATCTAAAGCTACTCAATTTTCTATACCTCGATATTTTCTATTAATATTGACATTTTGGTTTTTAAAATAGAGCATAATTAAGATCTATCATTAATTTTCTTACCAGACATTAATTTTATTAAATTTCCATTAGATAATTTTTATCGAAATTTTCTATATTTTAATCGATCGTAATAATGATTGGTTAATAAATATCTTATGCCACAATAATTTTATAAAATTTTATTTTAGTTTGTATTTTTGTCGATAGTTTTATTTTTATCGATATATTTATTTTGTTATCGATATTTCTTTCGATTAATTATAGCAATTTTATTTAAGTTTAAATATGTATATAGGCAAAATATGATCTAAAATCGATCATATAAGATATCGATTTTGAGCAAAAATTTTAAACATGAGAAAGAAAACTCAAACTATGTTAGAAGCGCAAAAAATTATTGTATCAATAAAATTCAAATAATTTATTGAAGATAATATGCATGATTTCGAAATGTACTATCATGCCCTAACATTCGCTTCAAAAACACTAATCTAAACAGCATAGGAGAAATTCAACAAATCTCACTGTATCATATGGGTTCACGGGATCAGCTAACATCTGTTTGAGTGCTAAAGTATGGTCTAGTTTATCGAATGAGTGTATTTCTATTTTTTGTGATTGCTTCTGAATATTCCGTTTACGTACAATGCTCTTGAACTATTTACGCTAGATAGAAACACTCACTTAGATATTTTGATTATTTTCCCATCTCTTCACTTCTCAACCAAAAGCAGCTTCACCCAGCACACACTATAAATATAAATTTATCAGTATCACAAATCTCTGCATAGTAAACTTTTAATAGAATAAAACCACCACTAACTGGCGCATAAAAGCGAATTTTAGAATAGAATTGATAGGCACCGCATGACAATAGGGACAAAAGTTGTTATGCCAAGTACCTAACGGCCGTTAGTGTTGCCAGACAAGCAGCGAGCAAGCAACGAACCAGCACACATGGCGGTGAAAGCCGCTGCACAACTTTCATTGTTCAATGAATGGAGGTTTTGTGGCATGCAACGAGCATTCAACAACGGTTGACATCAGGAGACCGTAACGACGCACCGCCATCATCTCGTATGCATATAAATATGAATTATAAATCGTAATGCGACACGTTGCGAACGTGTGCAAAGTGTAAAATTCTCAGTGTTGTGGCGTTATTAAAAGACACATACCATACGTACACGTACTGACATGTGCCACATACATGGTTGCACAGGAAGGTGCATGAAACTGATGCGTTGGGTACCTAAGCAGCCATGAACATATGTGTGTGCATTGTTGTAGTGCGCTATAGGCAACGCGCTCATCGGTGCAACAAACCTTTTTATGAATACTTAACCAACAATACCAGCACGTGCAATGTGTGGCAAACCTTTTTTACCAGTGTTATGACAGTTTTTATTAAATTTGCTTTCGGTGCGCTTGCAGACAGACATTTTTTTGTTACTTTCTGTGGAGGCATAGGTTTTTAGGCAACGTTTTTTACGCGCTGCTTTAAAGCTATTGCTGTTTCTTTGTTGCAACTTTATGCAGCAGTAAGGCGCAAATGTCAGACCTTGCTTACAAGGAAGTAGAAAAAAGTTAAAGCTCATATTGTTTGACTGGCATATTTTTTGTTTGTATGTATGTATGTGTATGCAATGCAGTAACTA